AACAAGCTCATTTTCCATTTTACTTCAAACCCATGGTAGTCATAAATTAGGAACCTTTTATCATTGTTATCCTGAAATAAGATCTGGCAGATAGACGAGTCCTTATATTAAACAAACTAATGTCCAGGAAATTCTTCCTGCCACAGGAAAGGTGTGTAACAGTACAGAAATAGGAGTTTCTCAACTACGTACGCAAAAATCCTCAGTGCTGGGAACCAACCATTTGGTAGTCTAGCTGCATTGGGAGAAAGGAAATGGTTGCCGAAACACCATAGCTATTCTTGATATTAAACAGCTTTGGGAGAAGATAATTGGTTTAAAAAAAAAAAAGGCTTTTCTCCATACCCCTCATGCCAAAGCTTGGTTTCCTTTTCCGCTCTGACATTTTATGGTGTGTCATTGGGATGAATTGTAAGTAGAGTTACGTGGGACTTAGCGGCCTACTGTCTAAGGTCGCATCTACAGGTCAGCAAGGAAGCGAAGATGGGGGTGACCTCACTATACTTAGGGATGACTGAGAAAACGCGTCCACGTGTTTTGAGATCGATGTTGAAACTTTCCCTCTTTTATGAACGGGTCACGATTTTTCAAACCGAGCGCGTTCACCCTCTGTGATACCCCCGTGTTTGGGAACTAAAGGCGGCCAAGAAATCATCGCATGGGACTGGTTTAATGCGTTTAACAGAGAACTAATGGGTTGTCTGTGGCAGAGAGCGTGCTCCCATTTCTAATCCCGTCACGTACTGAAGCGGTTTTGTGCGAATCTGTGTCTTTCACCTTTATCCATCCCGTATGCCCCTACTCAGGAAAACCTTTCCAAGCGCTTCCAGCTTCTGACCGCAGCCAAAATGTCCTGCTTCCTGGCTCCTCATTTTCGGTCTGTTTTCGTCATACTTAATAATAATAACTGATCCTTGCAGTGTTAAGACCTCAGTTGAAACGATCCGGTGAGCTCCTGCCTTGTTTCTTGCTTTGAAATGTAATCTCAACTACTCAACATATTTTATTAGCTCTGCTCTCCAAGCTGCAGGAGACCAAAGCTACTTTTGTGCTGGGTTTTGCCTTCTTTCTTGCCCAGAACGTGCGTTGTGCGCGAATATACACATGCGCTCGTGCGTGAACACAAACACACGCGCGCGCGCGCTCTCTTGCTCTCTCGCGCGCGCGTGCACACACTCACACACACACACACACACAGGAAGGGAGGGAGGGAGGAAGGAGAGAGAGAGAGAGAGAGAGAGAGAGAGAGAGAGAGAGAGAGAGAGAGAGAGAGAGAGAGAGAGAGAGAGAGAGAGAGAGAGAGAACTCAGCAAGAAAGAAAAAAGAAGAGAGAAGAGGCAGGGATGCCTCGCAAATAGCAGAGACTTGGGGCTCAGGCTCATCCCCCGCGTGGGGGAGCGAGAGTCGGGGTGGGCGGGGGCAGCAGCCCACCGACCGCAGCCGCTTTGGCCTGGGAGCCGGCGGCCCGGGTGGGGACGCGAGGATGCCCCGCGGGCCCCTGCACTTGTCTGACACAAATCAGGCAGACTAGGCTCCGGGAACGAAGTAAAAGTTCCGGATGCTTGAAGGCCCTGAGTAGCCACCTTGCCCGAGCGAGACGCTGGCCGGTGCAGCGGCCTCCGGGGCCGGCAGAACTGGGATGAAGCCCTCGCAGGGGGTCCTGCGGTGCGAGCTTTTGTACCGCCCCGCCTAGGCCAGTCGGGAGCTGACGCACCCGCTCCCCAGAGACGCTGGGGGCGTCGCACTGCAGCTGGGTGGGGAGCAATTTATTCCTGGCGGTCACATCCCACCCCATCTTCTGTTACTCCACCCTACCCCTCCCATCCCTCCACCTCTTCCTCCTCCTCTTCCACCAACGCCCGCACTATCTTCTGATTCCCTTTCTCCTCACCCTCTGTTCTCCCTCTCTCCCTTTCTTTTCCGCTCTCCCTTTCCCCTCCCCCACTCTTACATGTCCCTCCGCCTCCTCCGAATAACCAAGCTTTTGCCTCTAAAAGTCACGAGGGAGAGAGAGAGAGAGAGAGAGAGAGAGAGAGAGAGAGAGAGAGAGAGAGAGAGAGAGAGAGAGAGAGAGAGAGAGAGAGAGAGAGAGAGAGAGAGAGAGAGAGAGAGAGAGAGAGGCCTGCGAAGACTGGAAGACAGGAGGGAATCTGGTACATCTGGGAGTGGAAACTTGATGCTTCTGGGCCAAGATTTGCCAAGGCCTCGCTGAAGGTGAGTACTCTGGGTGCCCGAGGAGTTCCCACTTGGAAGGCTCCAAACCCCGCCCAAATCTGAGAGACCCGCGGTAGTCAAACAGCGGTTAAATCTGGGCTGGTGTGAGGGTCGGAGAAGGACTACACCCTAAGTGTCCCCGGCCAAGTGGGTGCCCTAGCCTGCCTCGCAGCTCCTAGCTCGGGCTCTTGCCCAGGGCTGCTTCCCAGCCTGCCTGGGGAATCCACGACGGCTGCGCCTTCCAGCGCCGACCTTCCCGCAGCTCCCCTCCTAACAAACCCGCGTTCAAGGGAGGCTTTGGCGTCAGGAAGTAAGAAAGTCAGCCTCTGGGACCCTGAAAAGGGAAAGTTTGGCCAGGCGGGCACTCTCTAGTGCTACCGTTCCCTCGAACCTAACCTGGGATGCCCAGGTAGGCAGAATATTGTTATTTTCCCTTTTAAAAGGAATGACTTTAACGAAAATTCGTATGTAGTCAAAAAGATTATTGGATCACTATGACTGATCAGCTGCTGCTGACCTACCAATAAGCGTTTTTAAATACACACGTACATTCATGCGTGCCCCCTACACGCAAACACACTCGGGGGGCTATGAGTAATGAGTCAGACAGCTCTAAGTTACCAAGAATTAAGAGGGAATCTGAAGAGCTTTTAAAATGCTATGCGCATATGCTCCATTTGAGTGCAGATTCGGGGGAGGGCACTGAAGGAGCATTCGTTGGCTGGGCATTTTCTCCGTGCCTGTGTGTTGTGCGTGTTGTCAGCTGGCTCTGGTTTCTAAGCACTGAGTGTTGCCAAAGGCTGGGGCCAGCATCCACCATCCACCTCGGCACCCTAGCGGCAGAACAGGACTCATTTGTTTGGTGCAGAGCGGTGAGGACCTGGAAGAGGCTGGAGTGTAGTTAGGTCGGCCCCCTGCCATCTATTACACCTGCGGCAGATGGTTCAAGTGGCAGAGAGGTTTTGTTTGCCAGGATCAAGAAGGGAGGAGGAGGAGATTCAGCCTCGCCCCACTCAAAAGAAGTACCGTAAAGAGCCAGAGAAATGAAAGAAGCCCCACGTCCATGCCATCAAAAGCAACAATACTGTCCCCTCCCCTGAGTCATTCTGGGCAGTTAGTGACCTTGATGCCTAGTCCCAACAGAAACCACGGCAGAATTTTACTAATATATTTTTGATCAAATGTTTTCTACACACACACACACACACACACACACACACGCACACGCACACACGCACGTTCTTAGAGGCACACAGGTGTCCTTGGAGCTGAAGGGAATGCCACTCAAAACTCAGGAAGTCCCTTCTCTTCACTGAGACTGCGAACTCACACAGAAAGACCCCTCCCCAGACAGCCGGCTAGCTGCGATTTCAGCAGCCTTCGAATGCATCTATCTCATTTTCACAGAGTGCCATTCCTTTCTGATCAGTATTCTCATCCTGCATCCTTCTCTTCATGTTGCTCGGCAAGCAGGGAAAGAAGTAAGCACACCCTCCCTGGTGTCAGCAGAGCACGGGCAGATGCGACAAAGAGCAAGAGCGCCCGTAGTCCATGAAGCTCAGTCTGTTTCCAATTGTTTAATTCTCCCCTGAAGCCCAGAGTGGAGACAGAGTTATGCACCAAACACCAGAACACAGCAGGACCCTGTCTCTACCCCTGCTCCACACAAGTCACTGGAATCACAGGCATCTATGTTTTAGAGCAAACGTTTTCATGTTTCTTGGGAGGTGAATTATTATGCTGACCTAATTCTCTGTCATAAGTCAAGGAAATTTCCTCTGCCCGGGGTATACTATGCTTACTTGTTGGGATGGTTGGTATGTAGCTGCAGAGAAATTTCACCATTTTGGAGAATTCTACTTTTTTTTGTATTTTTCATATTAAGGCCAAATAATGTTTAGAGTTCTACCAAAGACAATGAAACAAGAATCCGTTCTAGTTTTGGTTTGGAGGTCACAAATAAGACACATTCTAAAACTCACACACAGAAAGGGGAAAACAAAACAAAACAAAACAAAAAAACAAAACCACACTGCCATTTTCCAAGATGCTCTCATTGCCTGAAGAACCCTATGAACTGGGTTTCTCTAACTGGTTACTTACATGCACCATGTAATTTAATTGTTCTGCAATCATTTGCCTTTCTTAGGAGGGTTTTCATTTTCCAAGGAGAAATTTTAATATACAACAAGCTATAAGGCTCATTGAGAAAAATATAAGACTAGTGCTGTCTTTTATTCAGAATTAGTAATATGAATTTACTCACACATCATACAAATTACTAAGGGTCTGTTCTAAGGCGTGAGTCCATATATTACCAAACCTGCTCCTATCCACTTGCAGGAAAATTAGAACAAGAAAACTGCAATTATAAAAATGAGCTAGGTCTTCTTGAACTTTTGAGAGTTTTTTTTAATAAAAAAGAAATAGAAAGACAACTGTTTCGAAACCTGCTTTTAGGAATACTAAGAGCATCCTGTGTTATTTAAAGAAAAAAGAAATTAGCAAACTTTTACAATTCTAAAGAATGAAGACAAATCATTTAGCCCAACCAACATTTCTCCTCCTCCCCTTTTCTGATCTAAACATGTTAGGCCCTGGTTCCAACCAGTGTTCTAAAGCTAACAACAAGAATTTCCAATATGAACTCATGGCCTTTGAATTAAAAGGCGAATTTATTGTGTTTTTTTTTTAAAAAAAACAACCTGGGGTTTGACAACAAACGACATTTTAAACTGAAGCCTCAAAGACTCCAACTAGTTCAAATGCTGCGGTGTTAAAGGGAAGGAATCTGCCTTAATATTTGGATAGGTCAGTCCCAAATCACAGTAAGATTTCAGAGGCCCCTGCCTGCTCAGAACCTGGCACAAGAAGGGGAAATGTGTAGGGTAAGAGGGGATGCTGGGTCCCCTCCCTCCTCCACTCAAGGCTGGACACCTTACATCACATGCTTTCATATGAAATGGCTGTTTGGTTTTTACAGAAAAGGCTCGCGAGACAAAATCTAGAATATGCAAATTGTATGCAGACACACTATATAAAATACATATACATACATACACACACATATACATATATATACTTTAACATATCTACTTTGATACACACGCAGTCATGTGGGGGGCAATTTAGGTCTCAGAAACATCGCCATCATTTCAAGTTTGTCTTTGCTTGAGGAATGAATAAGATTATAATCCTTAAAGAAAAGAAAGATACCAAATGTTTTCTGGATGCAGTGCAATGAGGTAAAGCCATCCAGCATCCAGAAGGGCTCAACCAATTTACAGGCCTAAGGAGGTGCCAGGCATTTTTAAAGACACAGTCTTCAATTGGCGCTGAAGTAGGTGTGGTGGTGAAGAGGACTGTAGTATAAGCCCAAGTAAATTAGGATTTCGACATTTGTTTGCGGCTCATAAAACCAAAGGATTGTGATCAACTGCATTGGTAGGTCCTCCCTAGGGTTCCCAGAAGAAAGGGTGTTTGACTGGAAGGTTATGTGTGTTGCCTGTGTGCTCAGGCCCCTTCTGCAGCCCCTAGAGCCCCCTAGAAACTATAGCTCTGCCTTCCCTGGTGCAGAAATGGCTATAGAGGTCCCAGGAGCCTTAAAAACAAAGCCCTTGAAGCTCCCCAAGTGCAGCGAATTCAGGTTCTTCAGGTCAGGGCCGCCCCGACGGCCCAAGCGAGGTGCTCCTGGGGCCAGTAGGTGTCGCTGTTTCCCTGCTGGCAGAAGCCTGGAGCCCGACGTTGGCCCCTAGCACCACTCAGTTTTCTGCCCCGGGTGCTTTCCCAGACTCCTCTGAGCTCTAGGGTTGTGGCCGCTCCCAAATTGTGTTTCCCCCTAAACCCTACCCTGGCTCACCTGGCCAAGGCCGCAGCGACAGTGGTTGGCCTAAGGGAAAATCTATGGAGAGAAAAAGGAGAGGCGAATTTGGAGGGGCCAAAAGGCAGCCCCTACGGAATAGGCTAAAAACCTGCTTCATCTGCCACCCGTGCTCCTTTCTCCTCACAGACCGAGGGTGGCAAGGGTCTATGGGGAGCACCCTGGTAAAACCCCAAATTTGAAGAATTCAGACACGGTTTTACTTTGCCTGAAAATAACAAGAGGTTCAAAACTAGCTTCGCGGGACTTAGTCACAGAAAGAGTTTTCATGTCCTTGTCTCAAAAGACAAGGAAGGAGGTGTGTGGGGCCGCGCAGAACGCTAGGCCTGGACCACGAGCTGCCTATGTTTTTGCCCACATGCCTGTGCGCAGTGTCGGGTGAAGACACTGGCCAACCTTTGCTCTGGCCCTGAAAGGAAGATCTGAAGTACCCTAGTCTCCCCCACCGCCCTCCCTAAAGCATTGCTTACTGAGCATTAATATCCGTTGGATAGGGCTAGCCCATCTTTGCAATCTGTATTAAAATTCTAGGTATTGAGAATTCTGCTCCTTTATTTGGCGTCCTGCGGGCCCCTGGCTCTGGCTCAGTATACCATAAGCGTTCTTTTTGTGTCGGGGGAGGGGGCATTTGGCTTGCAGATTCCAAGAGAAACACTTAACAATGGTTACATCCTATAGATGGCTGGAGATTTTATTACGATCCGGGTTTCTTTGCATAGGGACCCCACTTCTCTGGAGGAGAAGGTAGCTGGGGGAGCCGGTATGAAACACCCTACATTCAGTCTTGGGCAGTCGCAAGAGGTGCTGGGGAGGTGGAATTAGCTTTGTATTGAATGCGAGTCTAAAAATAATATCTGCGGTCAAGAGTTGGCTGTAATTTTGTAGAGACCCTTACTGCTGGGTTTTGTGTAAAAGTAAAACACTCGCAAAGTGGAAAACCATAGCAAATATAAAACTAGAAGGCAGGGGGAAACTTCTCACTTAAAGTGCCAAGTATATTGGGATAATTTTCTGTAATGTCTAGGCTGAGGCATTTCCCTCTCAGGACCGGCAGCGCAAGAGGCTGCCTATTCAAAGAGAGGCTGACTTTTTAGCCAGAGTTGGCAAATATCTTCATTAAATGTCACGCCCTTTGCTGTTTCATAAAATTGACTCCTTCCTTTAAAGTCTTCTATCTGCTATACAATTTTAAATAATCATTTCTGGTCGAGACAGCAGATTTATCTCTGGGGGTGGGGTAGGACGAACACGTGTCTAATTGTAGGTTGTGAAGTTCAGTGAGGTGGTATTTTTAGCTTCTAATGCTCAAATTCATATATTTGGATGTTTCTTCCCGCCTCACCCTTTCTGTTTTCCCCCTGATCCACTCAACCCTTTCTCTCATTTTCCGCTCTTTTTTTTTTTTTTTTTTGCCTCTGTCTTCCTTCTCCTCTCTACAGCGCCTCTCGCCCTTCCCTTTCAGTCTTCTCTTTCTCGTCCCTTTTCTTTCTCTTTCCCGCTCGCCCCCTTTCTTGTATAATTTATTGTCTGATTCTATCAGTCAAGTTAATATGAAACTAGCAAGAGGGAGGCCCACCAGCCTTATCTGGCCCTCTCCCCGGAGCGCTTATGCGACTTTAGGGAGCTGTCGGTCGCTGTCGGGTTATGGATCACGTGGCTGGTCCTAGGTGCAGAGCACTCTGCTGGTGAAAGAGTTGGGGTCCGGGGCTTATTCAAATACCGCCCGCTGCTGCTGTGATTCGCAGGGACTCGGCCTCCATATGGTAATGCGGGGCGGGGGGTGGGGTAGAGGGAGGCGCAGAGGGGAGGGGAGGAGAGGATGGGGGTGAGGGCGGGAGGGAGGGGGCTCCGACACCGCGCGCTCTGCTGCCGTGCTGGGACAGAGCACCCGGACCCGCGGCAGCGGCGACAGCGGCGCTAGGCACCCTCTACTGCAACACCCATCAAGCCAGGAAGCCACCAAGCCACGGGCCCTCGGGGTAAGCCACAGCGCGCACACCGCAGCGATGGTGAAGTCAATGAGGGAGATTAGAAACAGAAAAGATTACAGAGAGATCAGAGATAAGAGGTGTACCTCTCTCTGTCCCTTGTCACACAGAGCGCGTGCACATGCATCTGTACCCACATGCATGTTCGGACAGCGAGACACTCCACAGTCCCTGCTACTTCCACCTAAATACAGGCACCGACACTGCCCTGCAACGTGGCCAGTGTGTTTGTCCTGCTCCTGCATAAAAGCGGGCAGGTATGTGCTGGTGTCCAGGCATGAATAAACAGCCACACACAATTGAATTGCAGTCAAACTCAGACATTCAGCCTGCTGAATTGATTCATTCGGCCCGGTGCCCCCCCACCCCAACCGGAATTCTGTAACCAGTTATGGAATTCTGCAATTATTCATAAAATGTGCTGAAATTTTACCTCAGGAAACTTGCTATATATGGCAAGGTAAGGGTGAACCTGGTGGATGGATGTGTTTCCATTTTTTAATGTTTTACGCATAGCCATCTGACCACTTTTTATTGGGTGACATAGCATATGAGCACTTTCATGTAAGCTTGGAAAAACTGTAGCCAGAGGTAAGGCTGGAAAATGCCATAAGAATTAAGGGTACTGAAAATGGATGCTAGAGAGTGCAACATGAAAGATGGCATATGTAGGCTTGAGAAGCCAGGGGATGAATGTGAATATTTATACACAAAGGCCATTGGGGAGGGCTGAGTCCTGCCTTGAGTATCTGTGCAGGTAAGTCATTCATAAGAAAACTAATTACCTGTGCATGTACTCGGACTTGTTTAATTGAAAACGCTGCATGTGTGCACATTTTCTGTTCCTTGTGGTTATGCGATTATGGATTGGGTCCTTTTTTTGCACGATAGTATTAGGGGATGTTAATATATAATTTAAATATACATATATTCAATAGTCATTGTGCTGAGTAGCCATACTGCCAAGAAGGAAAAATTCTATCGTATAAACAGGATTAGTATAGCTTGAAATCCAACTCAAGGCCTGTATATTTTAAGGGACATCAACTGGGTTAATAGAGTTAGCTGTTTTGTTTGTGTGTTTTCACTTCAAAGTATGGAATTAAGGATGCTTTTCAATCAAGATAACGTGTTTCCATCCAGATTGAGATAAAATAAAGCTCAGTACATTTTAAATGCAGCAGACACGATACAACATACAACATGGTTAAAAATGTCTTCCTTGCAGAAGGCTGTCCATTGCTGTGTCTACACATTTCAAAATAGATTTTCTTTTTTGCAAGAAATGCTAGCAAGCAATGGGTGGTGAATACCACATTCCCTCAGTTAATCAGCACAGTTCTTTAGTGATCTGGGATCCCTTCACTCACGAGTACTTTTCTCAAATGTATTGGCTCCAACCTGTGTTTCTACTAATAGGAACTTAATCAGAGAATCAAACTTTGAGCCTCAGAACGGTAGGCATTATAGTCAAGGGAGGGGTACGTAAAGAAAGAAAAATAAATAAACGTGTTCTTTTATGATCAAACTAGGATATTCTCCAGTTGGCATTGTATACATAACATATTTCTAATACATATGCATATTTCTAATCTTAAGTAAACAAAAGAAGGGAGGCAACTGTGAACATAATCTAGCTAGAGATAGCAGCAGACATTAGCAAAAAAAAAAAGACTGACAGAAAGGACAACAGAGGCAGATAGACATATAAAACAGGAAGAAAAAAAGGAGGGGGAGGGGAAATAACAAAAACCGTAGAACCAGAAATTTTCAAGGAATTTTTTAAAAATGCAAATATATCTTTACATATGCATCAGTATTAAAAATACTACACGCTGGACCCAAGGGGAGCTGGAGCAGGAGGAGGAGGAAGAGGACGAGGAAAGGTGGAGGAGGAGGAGGAGGAGGAGGAGGAGGAAAGTATGGAGGCGCCGCGGAGCCCTGATTATGCATGGGCCGGAGCTGCCTCCTCTAACCTGTTCTCGGAGCAGGGCAGCGGCGGTCCTCAGCCGCCCACAGAACAGGAGCCGAAACAACCGTTCCCGAAGGCTACAGCGTTTATTTTTCTCTTTTGGGGGATTTTGGCGGTTGTTTCAGGGGCTAGCCAACTGGCCCCTTTAATTAAAAGCTTCAATAAAAGGCGATCGCTCCAGGAATGCACCCTCTCCTCTTCGCGCAGGATTTGCATATTTTTTAATGCCCTAATTTCCTTGATGTATGTAAATGTAGCCGGACGTAGAGGGAGACAGGGAGCTGACGTCAATGGACGTGACCTCGCAGCTAAACCTTGAACGTGAAGCCGGGATGGGGGAAAACACGGAGCGGCAGCCGGTGGAGCCCGAAAGCCTGTGTAGCTGTATCTCTCGGTGGCCGAGCCCGAGCCCGAGGTGCCAAGGGCGCCCTTGCCAGTCCCAGGGGAGGACAAGCCACTGCCTCGTTTCTGCCCGCGGCGGTTGCCAGCCTCGCCACTCTTCCCGCCGCGTACGCAGACTCTATTTCTGCACCTCCAGCCCCACCAAACACAAGTTCTTGTCTTTCCCCAGGAAAAAGAAAGAAACAAACAAACAGACGCACACACCTAAAACAGCAAACCAAAACCAACAGATAACAAACAGAAGGAATCCCAAGTTGTTTTAGAACAACGCTCGGGTCGCTTGTCAGAAAGAAGATTGAGAATGGAACATGGTTATTTTTTTCCCTCTCCACCAGAAGAGGAGAGGGAGACAACAGATGCCAGGAAGGTGTTCCTAAAACACGATCTGCTACACATGTTCCCAGTAGGGAGAGGTAAATTGCTCAGGCAAATGGTGAGGGTTTCTCTTTTTGGTACCTGTTTACCTGTCAACAGATTGTGCGTGTTAGCTTCATTGACAACAATGCCAGGAGCGAGCATTTTGCTGTAGTGGGAATGACATGCGTGCATACGCGCGCTCGTGTGTGTGTGTGTGTGTGTGTGTGTGTGCCTGTGTGTGCGCGTGCGCGCGCGCGCGTGTGTGTTGGAGGGTGCTTAGACTGGTGAGCACAGAGAGACGACTTGGGACAGAGACCAACCAGTCTTTGCATGGCCAAGTCTGGTGACTTAGCTGGCCAGTTGTCCCGCTAAGGCTGCGGGGCTGGGGCTCGAGTTCCCCACTTAGAAGAGATAAGCCTAAAAGGCCTTCCCCTGGACAGCCAGGCCCTTGCGATCGCATTGTCTGAAGAAGGGGACTTGAGGTGGGAACCATCCTCTTGGTTGCAGCTTGGATTAGGCCTGGTGTGTTCTTCTAAGAGCTCAGCTGCTTCTGCGTGGAGGCAGCGGCCCTGGGAGATCGCGAGGTCTTCAGGCTGGGCTCGCGTGTGCCCGCGCACCGGGCGGGGACCGCTGGCACCTCCCAGGGCACACTCGCCTCCGAGCCGCGAGGGTTTGGTCCTCGATCCCAGCTGAGCTAAGGGCACAAACCTGCCAGCAGGCTAGGAAGAGGCGCTAGAGGCCGCGGTGTCAGCTTCCCAAGGCTGCCTTTTCTGATTCCGCCTCGCAGCCCAGCTTTGTTTTCCTGACCTGCTGGCGGCCACTCGGCCGCGTGCCTGAGAGGGGAGCGTGTGCGTGTGCGCGGGGCCGTGCGTGTGCGCGGAGGCTGCGTGCGCGCGCGGCGGGCGGGGACCCTCCCGCCAAGGACAAGCTTGGCTGACTGTCCTCAGGCTGCATTTGGCGGGAAAGCTGGGGGCCGGCGGCGGGGCCGGGCACCCGCAGCTCTCAGGACAGCCTCTACTCCTTCCCCGGCCACATTTACAGACGGGCGGCCGTCGAATTTTTACAGAGCACCACGCACTCCTCGCCCTGGGTCGTGCAGCCTCCAACTACCGCCCCGGGGCTCCTAGGTATCCCCCGCCAAGGCTGCCTCCAGCTCCGGTCGAGCAAATAGGCCCAAGGGAGCAGACTGCCCTCACCGGGACAGATTCCTGCACCGCCTCCCCCTCCTCCCATGCGCCCGCACCCCTGACCGCCTCCTGCTGGTACTGCAGGAAACCCACCTTCCCTGGAAGCTCCCACCTTTCCCTCTACACACCCCAGCCCCTCCTCCTGCATCTCAGCCTCTCTGGCATGCGCGCGCGCACGCACACACACACACACACACACACACACACACACACACACACACACCTTTTCTTCCTTCGCAACCATTATCACGCTTGCCTGGTACCCTTTGAATAAAACTGGAGTTTAGAGAAGAAAAATCCTCATAATGTATTCCTTGTCTTTAGCGAACACACTAACAATCAGAAGGGGGAAGGGGGCTTGAACCAAAAGACCTTTCTTGAAAAAAAAAAAAGAAACTATGTAAGTCAAAAGGTCATCCTCCAAGTTTGTAAATAAAATTGCAAAAGGGAACCCCGAAAGAAAGGAAAGGAAAGGAGGAAAGGAACCAGAAATGCCCACAAGTTAATAAAAATGGTGCACAGGGAAAACAAGACAGGGAGATTCTTTTTAAAATGTGTCTAAGAAATTAAGAGGAGAAAAGCTGGGGGAAAGAGAAAAAAGAAGAAATAAAAGGTAGGAAAGGCAAAATAAGTTTCCAAAGAAATGTGTGCTTTGCAACCTACAATAGGAAAATGTAGCCATTGCCCTCCTTCAGACGAGACATTTCTAATTTGTTCCGTCTGTCAGGAGGGGACTATGAGAGGTTTGGGTGCAAATTCATTATCTCTGGCAACGCAGAACGTAGTGTGGGGACTGAAAAAGACCGTGGCAATGGATGAACAATGGGGCCTCAGTTCATCAGTAACAAAAGCAGTGGGGAAATCGGTTGAGTTTCAGAGCACGTCCTCCTCGGCAGAGGGGGCTGGACTAGACCTTGGACAGCCCCCCCAAAAACTTGCCGAGCCTAGCACACACCACTTCACTCTGCTCTCCGAGGCTCAGGGAGCAAGTGCTTGAGTGGGGGGAAAGTTGGCTTTTTCCCCCTCTTTGGTCTTTTGCGCCCTTCTCTCTCCCTCAGAAGAGAAGGGCAGTGCAAACTATTTTAGACACAATCAAGGAAGAATTGCCCACCAAGCGGAATTGAGCGGCAGTTTTAAATGTACTAAGAGAAGACTGATCTGGAAAAAAAATTATTTTTCCCTTCTTTTTTGGAGACGCCTAAAGGAGCCTGTTCGTGTGCTGTTCCACGTTCTGCTGTGACTGGATCTTGTCTTCTACCCGGAGCTTCGATTTCGGTTCGGCTGGATTTGGGGGACAACACTGCCTGGCGCAGGGACATCAAGTGAGTATATTGAGTGCGTGAAGGCTTGCAAGCTCTGCAAGGCTGCGCCAGGCCCGCAAGTGCTGGTAGTTGTCCGGTACCCACACCAAGAGCCGGGCAAGGGCCGCTCCGAGGGCCAGTCCGGGGCTTTGCTTCAACTAATTGATTGTGTATCTCCAAAGCCAGACCTGTTGATCTAGTGAGTTGTCCGAGCCAGGACGGTTAATTATCCTTCGGACTGACCCCTAAACGCAGAGAAATGCCAGGAAAAATTCGCGCAGAAAGAAATTTTGTATGTAAATTTGTGGTGTTGGTAGCGGGACCTCTCTTACATGTAGTGCTAAATACAACGTGCTTTGCGTTTTTGAATTCTGGGCTCTTATTTTAATAATTTGCCTATTTTGGATCACCCCAAAGTTTCAGTTACTTGGCACTGAAGCCACTGTCTGATTATATCCTGGTGGAAAACTTGTACACTAGGTAACTGCATCTCGTATTTTTTTTTTTTTTTCTCTTCTCTGCTTTCTGGATTTTGGAGAGCAGAGGCTACTTTACAGAGCTATCCGGAGTTTAGCTTTAGCCAAACCGCAACCTTCACGGTTAGTTACTGGGCCTTGGAGCTATTCAGCTTCAGACACCTCTGGAATTGGAGCAAAGCTTGTTCTTCGTTTGCTTAGAGCCCAAATTCAAGTGAAGGCAAGACCTTCTTTCGGTGGTGAGGGACTATCTGCAGAAAATGCTGGGCGAGGAGAACCATAGCAATGTATTTTTGCATTAGGGTCTGCGGCGTTTTTCTCTTGCAAATGTGCCGGCGGTGCTTGAATGGAGTACTGTCTGAAGGGGTCAGGGCAATTGAGTGTTATTGATCAGAAGTTAGACCCTAAGCCCTGTCAAGTCACGGCCACGGCCGTGGGGTGGGGGTGGGGGTTTAGAGCTGTGGCTGCTTTGGGCCCACAAGGATGAAGTCAGACCTTTTTCTTCCTCTCTCGGTGCCCGCACCTGTCCACCACCTCTATTTACACCTTGGTACCAGTAACTAGGGCGATGGCAAGAAAGAACCACTGTAGTCAGCATAATTGAACCTGTGCAGTACTTTCATTTTGTAAAAACAACAGCTCCACCCCTCCAGTCCTAAATAATAGTAAGCATCAAAAAATCATTTTAAAAAACCCAACCTATTTTCGGGAGTATGTAAGGCTTCCTAATATTGGGTTGTGGGGGTGGGGATGGGGGAAGGGTATAAAAATCCACCACTTTGCAGCAATCAGGGTTTACATTATTCATTGATTTACTGAAGGAAAGAGCCAATCAGGAGCCTTAGATATGAATGCACATCTCACTGAGCTGTGTGGCCTTACAGTAAACTATTTGCATCTTTCTAATGGATTAGACATTTATCCTGGGATTCCCATTGTTTGAAAGGCCAGGAAATCCAGTCCCTTAAACATTTAGAAAATAAGACTTTGTTCCAGACTTAAAATCCTTGCATGGTGGGGTTCTCTCTTCTCTTTTGTATGGCAGGTTACAAGGTTCAAATCCCTAATGTTTCTTAAGTCTCTCTTCTTTCCAAGCTAAAAATAAAAGGAGAAAGAAAAATTAATTTCCCAAACCCCTCTAGATCCTGCATATTTTGCATTCCCATTATCATGCATGTCTCCATTTAAATGCAAATTAGCATATTTAACCCTGTGGGTGCTAAGGCCCAAGATACACAGTACTGGTGTTTTATAGAATCTTTTGGTATTTTAAGGAATCACAGTAATTGTAATATTTTAAATGTAATCTATATATTCTGATATATGTACATAAGTATATATAAACTGTGGTCATTTGTTTTATTGCCTATTTTTCAGATGACACTTCAAAGAAGCATAAAATGAATAGACTATTCAATCAAACAAAGGTAACTTAAAATTTTTTATTTGAAAAATATGACTTATTTATAAATCCAAAATAGTGTATTGTTTACTGGTGGACAGGCCTGCAGTGTATTGCATATTTCCCCTTGCAACAAATAGAATTCCAGAAACATCTAAGTTTCAGTGTGTTTGGTTGTTTCTCCTGTAGGAGCCTTTGTGAATATGTATTAGTATATACATATATGTATATTCATAAGGCATAATATAAATATAACATGCAATGGCCTATAAGAAAGAAGTTCATTTTCAGAAGAAAGAGTAATATACTTTTATTATAATGTAAGCCAGTTAAGTACATTACTTGAACCATGGACATTGCTATAAAAAATGGCTTTTCATAGAGACAATAGTGTTAGTGACCGTATTAATAAACTACAGTTTGTACACCTGTAATTCTTACAAGTCAAATATTTAAAAAGAGTTGGTGTTAGGCCAGTTCTTTATGTATTCTACGTTAATGTAAATATGATTTAGAGATGTAATAAGCCAAATGTATTTGAATTAATTAAATAGCATAATTCTGACCCAAACATAGTGGAATTCATAACTTTTTACTTTTAAACAGCAGAGATTTTGTATTCACAAGTGAACCAGGTTGTTTGAATCATGTTTCAGAAATCTGGGGACCTATAACAACATCCAAAATAAGCATGGCAACCCCATCCTAGCCTCCCAGGCACTAAGGAGAATTTAGTGGAGAACAAGCAGGCAGGCTGTTTGAACTGAAGACATCCTTCAGTTCTCTGACTCTGTATCTCATCCAGACAGCTTTTTAAAAGCAAAAATACCTGACTTAAAAGTGTGGTTGTCGAGGGCTGCTCTTCACACGTGCCATTGTCGATTCCTTGGAGCTGTGTAATTGCAGCATACTGTGGGGTGTATACAATAATACATATAATAAGCCATGCTGCAAACCTCGGCAATAGTACAAACAATCAGGGACTCAATGTTAAATCTTAGTGCATCTCATTTTCTTCCGTGAGCCTGAGAGGTTGATAGAAAAATAAAATATTTAATTGGCTACATGACTAATGAGCAGACTGCCCATAATCCTCATCTTGGCTCATTTCACTTATTGGAGTTCCCATGATGAATCTGTTGTTAATACCAAGCATGGCGACCAGTCTTAGAGCAGACAGCATCTTCTGTAGTTCCTATGGCAGAAGCATTCAAACATTCAATGTGTTAACTCTCATTGTAGATGCTGTTTCTAAAAATGCACTTATTGTTAAGTATGGGAATATAGTCATAATAATTTTCAAGTTCAAAAAAATGTGAGGATAATAGACACCCACCCACAGATAAATATATAGCTTGCTCTCTCACACCTAGAAACAAACGAAGCAAACGGTATTCTAAAAATATTCTTGATTTCTTGGGCTTTGACTTACAGAGTTGAGTACATTTGATCATTTGTTCGATTTGTGTAATACCTGCCAGTTCACTAATTGCTCTGCTGCTAGTTCTTGGAAAGCAATGCCACAGTGCTCTTTAATCTTCCAAGCTCCAAAGCTCATCAGGGTTTTAGGTGATGTCAGAAGTGGCGTGTGCCTCAGTGAGTTGTTCATGTTGTGAAAATATGGAACAAAAATTCCAAGAATGTGTTTTTAAAATTGGATTGTAGTTTAAATGTGCATTTTATATCTGGCTTGTTGTTCATGATTTAATAAGGAATATAGATGAGTTCTTTCCATCTCTTAGTCTTTTCTATATAGCCAGTAAAAGAATGCATACCACAAAAGTAAACAAGTTAATACAAGGACAGATTGGCATCTCTGTTACTCTGCCATATCTTAGTTGGTGTGATATTGTGTTTAAACTCTTCACTGGAGATTTTCCTACTATTAAAAAAAAACAAACTTGTCAGTCTCTTTTACAGGGTATATATTTGTGTGCTCTGTATGTGCTTGAGTAAGCCTGTTCTCATTCATGTCTTAAATGAACAAATTAGTGAATTCCAAATATGAAATTGTTTAGTCATTGGGGAAAATAGACACATTATGGAATTGAGAATACCCTGGTGGTGTGTGCAATGGATATTAAGAACTATTAATTCTCTTTTAGCATGTAACTTAAAGAATAGTAACACCACCAAAAACAATTCGTAATTTTGAATAATACTTCATAAAGTTTACCCAGGGAGAAAAATGTCTCTCATGTAGATTACCATGGGTGTTTTGTTGAGAGGCTTTGATATTAATAGATGTGCCAGGCAGATCATCTATTATAAAGGATAGAAAAGAAAAGGACTCTTGGAAGTGATTTTAAAGTCACACTTTAAAAACTTCTAAGACAATAATGGAGATAGTTAATTTATTACATTCTTCTTCTAGATAGAAAAGAAATATGAGTGGGTGGGGCCAGGGAAGGTGAGGTGGTACCACATTTCACATCCAGATGTTTTATTTGCATTTTCAGGAGACTATAATTTTGTCATCATTTTATAAGCAAGTCTAGAACATTTTTTTCGGGTATGAAAACTGATGTTTAAAACAGTAGACAAAGGCTCAGCATTTTTACCACAGCAGAGTTGTGTACAACATTAGGAACTATTGCTGCAATGTTTACCTGTGCTGCATTCTAACTCACATACCCTTTATATGCAATCATTAAAAAAAAAAGATGAAGCTCGTCTGCTTAGATCAGTTTGAATTTACAGAACAAAATGCGTTGCCCTATCACCATGGCACACAGATACAAAACATGACTGATCTGTGAAGCCATTAAAGACACAACACCAAACCAAATTGTCAATGTAATCACACATCGACTCACTGCGTAATCATACAGATCTGATTCCCAGCCCCAGAAAGCTAGGCCCTGCTTTAAGCAATAGTAAAGTGCCTTCCATCTGCCTGCCTATGCAATCTGCCAGAAGAGAAATGCAGGCAAAGATGTTCCCCAGACCTGAAATGCTTTTATCTGTCCTTAGAGAGAGATTTCCTCCAGTCTTTGGATATTAGAGCGATCTACACTAGCGCCGAGGAGGTAAAAGGCCGCGGGTTGCTTTTCCAGGAACAGTCGGTAGATGAAATGTGGATGGAGAAAATAGGGCAGAGCTGCTGCGCCTCCACCACCGCTGCTGCAGCCACCGCCGCAGCCTCTGCTCCTCCTGACAGCAGGCGTGGTGGGGGCAGTTGGCTGATCACTGATGCATATCAATAACCGTGTACTTGAGATTTCTCATGACATCATCATTACCTTGGTCTCCCGCGGTCTCAAACCTTTGACCTTGCCGGGCTGGTCCACAATTTGGCAGTGAAAGCCCCTCCAATGATGGCCCTTTTCTCCTTCTTTCAGACCGGGGGCGGCAGTACTCCGCAAGACAGCATCTTCTCCCCAGCCTAGAAGTCCTGAGAAATCGAGGATCTCCCCCTAAAACATTCACATACAAGATATGGGCAATCAAGCTGCCAGCACTTGGTAAAAAGCTCATGACGATCCGGCGCAGATTTTTGAATCAGCTGTCACTTCTATAGAATGGGATTTTCCCTCTCTTCCTCTCTAACCAGCTCTGGAAACTGCCAAGGCTTTAAACGTCTCAGTAGAGGAAGGCTAAAGAATCTTAACGTGAGAACGAAGCAATTTACAATGCAAATAGAGGCCGGTGAAGGGACGGACGCTGCAGCTCAGAGGAACAGCTTGCTGCACCTTAGTCGCTGGTTCTCATTTTCTGATATTAATAGATGAATTGTTGGCTAACGCTGCTGGAGATTACTTCCTGGAAGGGGAAAAAAGTTTGGAATAAACTCTGAACGCAACAGATCTTATTTGGATGTTTTAGCCGCACTCACTCAGACAGAAACCAGGTCATGTTTGCATGAAAAGAGGAATTCTTAAACTCGGCAAATATCCTGGAGGACTACACTTGTGTAGATCCCAGAGTGGAGCCGGATCTGGAGTGCAGCCAGAGGAAGACTTCCTGTGAGGGAAGCGAGTTGTTATCTTTGGTTATCTAGCTGTATGAGTGTATTGGTCTTCATAAAGCTAGATAACCGAAAGTAAAAACTCCTTCAAGATCACCGAGGAGCGGCCCAGAATGAAAGCCTACATCCAAGAGACAGTAAAGGCCAGAAAGGTCAGGAATGCTTATTGAATCTAACTTTTTTTCTTATGATTAACAGTGGGATGCAAGGGAATTTAGTGACACACATAATGACATCTAAAGGGGCCAGGTTTTGAGAGGGGCTGTACAACTGGAGAGGAGAATTGTGTGGCTTTTATGGGTGAAGATGCATGGACTGCCTATATTGTTCTATTTTGGAGCAAACGTTTGCATATGAGAAATGTTTTTCTTAGAAAGCTGTTTTAGTGATGCCTGATACCTCGTTTAAAAATGATTCCATAATTATGTAGATTTGGGCAGTTCCCTTCTGAGGTCCCTCCCTCAAGTTTGAAGCTTGTGCTTGGAAACTTTCTCTGTATTTGGAGGCTGTACATTAAATTCTATGAAGTTAGACTTTCAGTAAAGCTTATTTTGGAAGGTTAATAATTTATATCTCCCGAGGACTTAGAGCTAGCAGGGAAAATGGGGGGGGGCGTCTGATTTTTATTCTTCTATTCAAAATACAAGGACAGATGCTTCTCTGTTCCAAGAGGGTTTCCTTGAGGAAGTTACTGAAGCAGAAAGACATGATGGAGACGAGATCGCCTCCCCTCTTGTCAAAGTGTTAAAAAAATGTTCTGTCTTACTCTGTGCCTAGCATTGGAAATGAAAGTGACATTTACGCCACAACCCACGTGTGCGCCTCCTCTCTTTTTGTTTAAGGATGATCAGGTCTATCCAGGAAACAGCTCTGGCATCCCAAACTGAAATAATTAGGACGTATATAGACCTGACAAAAATGGAAAGGGGGTGGGGAACCCGAGGGTCTGTCTTGCCTAATTGATTCCGCTGAACGGAAAGCGGGAGATGTGAACCGCAGGACGCTCCGATTCCCACGCTCGGGGGCAAGTGGTGAAGCCTGGCCCGCAGCCTATGACAGACAGCCCTGTTGGGGGGCAGGGGCATGAAAAAAACCATCAAGCACACACACCATACTCATCTCCATCGCTTAAGAAAGTAAAGGCTTTTCCCACCCACAGCCATCTGCAGCCTCCCAAATGGCAACACCAACTGGTTGGTAGCTACCGCGTACTGTTTCTGTTAATTTTTAAGCCACTGTTTAACCTGGCCATCATTAAATTTGGCTTTCTTCTTTGGTTGAAAATTTCATTATTTAAGGAAAGCAAGTGGAAAGGGATGTCAAGGGCATCCCTCCGAGAAACTCTCAGCCGAAGGGTAGGGCTTTTTGATCACCTTTTGGCTTTTGTTTTGGCTGTGCTATATTTTAAAGTCGTGCGTGGTAACACTCATTCCAGCTTAGTTCATAGGGCTGTTTACTTCTTTATGTGACACAGGAACTTGGCCTACTTATGCTAATCTGCATTCTGGAAATAAAGCTATAAAGTCATCAGTAGAAAGTTGGTTAAAATCACAATGTGTTTAAAACTTGTTTTTAGGATAGTCTCCGCAGGATGTGTGCTACACCTTCTTCTTTTTCTTCTTTTATCTAAAAGTATCTAGTCCTAGCATAAACTTTGAGGTTTTGGAGAAATCCATTGTAAGGCTTTTCTGAAATTCCTTACATTTTGTTCCATGCTATCAGGCAAACATTTGTGTGGGCATTTGCACATAAACACAACCATTGCAATAAAAAATTGTCCAAAATTGCCCGTTATCTTCCACAAAGCCTAAATTACTGACACTCCCAAATACACATTTTTTCTGCAGGGATATACAGTGCATTTTTCTTTATCACTTCAACTTCTTATAAGGTTGAGACTGGGAAGGCCTGGAAAGCCACTGTTAGCTTCACATAAAAAATGCTGAGAGACTTTAATAACACAAATTCTCTATTTGGCTGCTGAACACGTGCCAAAGTTTTACTACTGTAGTGACTGTTGAGAAGACCCGTGTTTGTTTACCTTTGAAGCACTGTTTGTGCAAACAAGCTCTCATTGTAAAGTGCCTGTGTTTCTTTCATTTGCCCCAAGTCCAGGGGTGCTATTTACCTAGAACCATTGTCTACTACAATTAACATTTACATTACAAAGTGTGTGGTTTTCTTTCTCAAGGAGGTTCAATTAAGGCAATAAGATGTTTGCTGGGGAAACCTATTGTTTACTCAAAGCCCTCAATGGAGTCAAGTTACTCAAGTTTTTGCCTACATCTTGGTCGTTTATGTAAATATGTTAACTCTAACACCTAAGGAAAATAAACAATATTAAAATTATGTGTTTGCCATTGTCATATCAAACTTGCTTTGTATCACACTAATGTTACATAACTTATCGATCAATAAAAATACATTTCAATGTTATTTTCATTTTATTTTTTGCTGTTCCACTGCTCTTGCTACAACATGTCCCAAATTTTCTTTTTTCTATTACACATCAAACTTCTGACATTTTGTTTTATTTGTGTGTGTTGAAAGAGGTACCATATCTGAGCATGAGTCAAGATAATCTCTACAGTGACCTTATTATAAGGTGATTTTTTTTGAAATCTGAAATATTCCTAAGGCATGCACATTTAAGTCAAAAGAAGTGTAAATATCAGTTAAGTAGTTCTTTGAAAGCTAGTTTTAGCATTGGCAGAAACCGGATCGAGTTTATTTAGCATACCCCTGCATTGTAAAACAGTTGGAGTGAAGTTGCAGGTTGCGTGAGTATGCATGTTAACTAGTGGGAACCAAGGCAGTCTTTGTGACAGGGAAGCAGCAGATTTCTGTGCAAGGCCAATGTTAAAAAGGCAGCTGAATTTAACACCATCTGGAAGAAAAGATCCCTTCACGACTTTCTCACACCGTCAGACAAAACTAGTGTCTCTTGTTCCGAGCCCTTGTCTATGCAACCATACAATACTGAGTCATTATACTTTTGCTGAGAGAAAATTTGAGAACACAATATGGGTAACCAGTGAATGGCCAAGTTCCATTGTGCCCGTCTAAGTCGATTGAAATCTACGTCTAGAGCTATGAATGGTTGTATTGTTTTCCTCACCAGGACTGTACTAAATGTCAGCACAGTGTAAAGAAAAACTTGAAGTCTGCAAATAACTTACCAGATCTCAATTATAATATTTTCCCACACTAGAACTAATATCATTGCAAGGGGCTACATTGCAGAAAATACGAAAAGAGATGAGAAGAAATAAAAGAGTTCATTACGAACTTATTTTATCTATATAAACATTTTAATTTTCTGATTTGAAGTTTATGGTGCAGGCCTAGTTGAGGAATGGAGTTCATTACTTGGATGCTGAAGTTACAAAAATGCTTCTTGTGCAATTAAAATAGATTAAGAACAAATTCTCACCTCTACCTGAAACTAATTATGCATAAATGGACTCCACTTGGATTTCATTGCTATAGTTCTGCTTAGTATTGTTAGTGTGACTCTAACTTAAATTTTGCTTTAAGTTTTAGCATCCTACTCTTTCAGAGTTTGCCACTATGATTGACATTGTAAATGAACACTGTAGAAATATATTTGCCAATACACACAGGAGTAGACTGGTGGATTATAGTGCCCTCAAAATATGTTTTCTATCTATAGTTTCTAATTTGTTTTTACATATGGATATCAATCAGTTATCTTCAAGGTTAATGTTCACATGTTCTATTTGATTATAAACAGTTAGAAAAGGGTAACAAAACAATTCAGAAAGAGTAAGAGAAGCCAATTGTGTATATTTTATTAAGATGTCTATTTTAAATACAATTGACTTTGCAATTTTGTTATTGTGTCACTAAGTGTCACATAGTTCTTAATGTGTAAGTGCAAAACAATGAGTAATTGCTGTTTTGCTGAATAATACATCTGAGTTGCCAATGTCAAAGGTATTGTTTTGTGTATTCCCAAACAGGAACATTAGCTGCTGTTTTTGACACTTAGAACCTTTTCAGGAAATTCTGAGAAAGAGAATGATAAAATAATACCTTTAAAAGTAAATGTAAAGCTACAAGCAACTTATTTTCCTTGTCTTATTTTGTGATACTAGAAATTAGCAATGAAAAGTCAGTCATTCAATAATCAAATTATAGAGCATATAACATTAAACACAGATAAAAATCCAACACAGAAACAAAAATGGAAATTGAATAGAAGTTAAAACACAGATACATAGGAAGACTTCTATAATACCTTGGCAAAATATGCATGGGTATAATATTAGTGTCTTTCCCTCACTGAAGTAACTATGAATATGCATGGGTATAATATTAGTGTCTTTCCCTCACTGAAGTAACTATGAATATGCATGGGTATAATATTAGTGTCTTTCCCTCACTGAAGTAACTATGGATATGCATGGGTATAATATTAGTGTCTTTCCTTCACTGAAGTAACTATGGATATGCATGGGTATAATATTAGTGTCTTTCCCTCATTGAAGTAACTAGGAATATGCATGGGTATAATATTAGTGTCTTTCCCTCACTGAAGTAACTATGGATATGCATGGGTATAATATTAGTGTCTTTCCCTCACTGAAGTAACTATGGATATGCATGGGTATAATATTAGTGTCTTTCCCTCACTGAAGTAACTATGGATATGCATGGGTATAATATTAGTGTCCTTCCCTCACTGAAGTAACTAGGAATATGCATGGGTATAATATTAGTGTCCTTCCCTCACTGAAGTAACTAGGAATATGCATGGGTATAATATTAGTGTCTTTCCCTCACTGAAGTAACTAGGAATATGCATGGATATAATGAGATAGCTACATTATTTACTTTCAAAATACAATATTTTTCAAAATAGCTCAAGTCTTCTTAAAGCATTGCATTTTGTATTATTTTTACTCTTCATGTTTATTTTTAAAATTAAAATGATTTTCTTACTTGGAAATATGTAAAATTCTAATTTGATTTTGTGTTGTTTGATGAAAATATAAAAATCATTTAAATAATGAGATGAATGAATACATTTCAAGATCAAAACCCTTCCTATTCATAGACTACATAAACATTTTAGAGTAGCTCATCATTTTAAGAATGTTGCTTTTAAAAAAGTCTTCTTTTGTTACTGTGTCTAAACAGGGGTATGGAGATATGACTCATTGGTTAAGAGCACTTGTTGCTCTTCCAGAGGACCCAGGTTCAATTTTAAGCACCCACATGACAGTTCACAACCTTCTGTAATTCCAGCTCCAGGAAACCTGATGTTTTCTTCTGATTTCTTTGGGCACCAAGCACAGATGTGGTTCTCAGACAAGCATGCTTGCAAACAAGCACACAAGCAAAACAGTCATACACATAACATAAAATAAAAGTAAATGAAGTGACTAGACAATGGACAATGAATGAAAGACATCTAGGGATTTTCCTATGGGTAACATGTCTGTGGAAAATGCCATTGTGACTTAAGAATATATTGATACACACACACACACACACTATATATATATATATATATATATATATATATATATATATAGAGAGAGAGAGAGAGAGAGAGAGAGAGAGGTTCTCTGTGTAGTTCTGGTTGCCCTGTAACTTATTCAGCAGAGTAGGTTGACCTGCAATTTAGAGATCCCCCTGCTTCTGCCTCCTGACTTCTGGCATCAAAGGCATGCACTACCATCCATGGAGTTCATTACGTATATCTCTGTGACCTACATTTACTTAAATTTGCTAAAGTAAACACACAGTGTTGTGTTGCTTCCGGGTAGGTGGACTCTGGGCGGTGATGCTGAGACCTGCAACAAAGAGCAAGTCTTCCTTTCGATTAAGAACCGGGAGCAGAGTTGTTGAGTGAAAGATGTTTGTAATACTGAGCCAATTGTCTTACCAGCACAGTAGCTTGAGACTCTTAAATAGACCTTACAGCATTGGAGCATGTAAGACAGTTCTTCAGTGTCTCTGGATTAATGGATGGCTTTGTTATCCTGTTACTCTGCACCCCCACCCCTGCCAAGTTAAACAAGCTACTGCAGAAATTCACTCCCTTTTGCCTAGAGAACCCATTTCACCTCTTCTGGGGATTGTTCGACTTTCCTGTGGGATTAATCCTAAAATGGTGAATGGAAATGCAAGTATATAGTTGTCATTTCTGCTAAGGAATATATCTGCCTGCTCTCAATCGGGCCTCAGGCGGGAGTTAGTGTGCTTCTTTAGAAAGGTGATAGCCATCTTTTGAGGTAGAAACATGTGGCTTTCTGCTTTGCAGCCAAGTGCCAGACCACGGGGGGTAGAGTTTAAAAAGTGCAGATAATCGACTTTATACATAGAAATAGGGACTTCTGAGCCATATCTGTTCAAAGGGAAGCACATCCCTGTGCTTGGTGGTTTGACTTGGTCCTAGCGAGACGTCTGCACAACGCAGTCTAGAGATCTAAAAATAGCCAGGCTTCTTTCCGCAAGGTGCTCGGTGTGGGCGGTCTGCAGAGCAGACGGCAGGCTGTGACTGGCTGCCCAAGTGGCTGGGCCAGGCGGTGGCAGTGGCTGAGGCTGCGGGTCTGCCGCTGGGCATCACAAGGCCCTCAGCGCAGGCCAACAGCCGGAGTCCTGGCTCAGCTGCCGCGGCTCGCGGCGGGCGACAGAAAGCGGGCGTCTGATTGGTGTTTCCCGGGAGACCGGCTGCCCGAGCTGGGAGAGCTGGTGCGCCGGCGCGCGCGCTCCCGACTGGCGCGCGCCCGGGAGGCTGGGCGCGCGCCGCGGCGCGGGCGGCGGGGTGGGAGGCTGAGGACTCTGCGGGGCTGTGTCGCCCAGGCCGCCCCTCCTCTGCCTGGCGCGCGCTGAGTGCATCCCGGAGGGCTGTGGAATGTGATTTGCCTGTCCCTTGGCTGGGTACCAGCGTCCTGGCCTGCCGGTGCCTCTCCAGTCGGCATTTGCTTAGGAATCCTGAGTTTGCGGATGGGGTGGCGTTGAGGGTTAGTCTGGTTTGGTCTCTGTCAGCCAGGTGTTTTCTACCTCACTGTCTCAGAGACCCTTCCTTAACTGGTCTTTACCGTTATCAGTGGTTTAGGGGTTCTCTTCTGAGCTTTTCTAGCTCCGCCCAGGTTTTATTGGTTTCTTTCTTTCTTTCTTTCTTTCTTTCTTTCTTTCTTTCTTTCTTTCTTTCTTTCTTTCTTTCTTTCTTTCTTTCTTTCTTTTCTTCCTTCCTTCCTTCTTCTTTCTTTCGGAAATAGTTCAGGTTTAATGATGATGTTCCCTCTCCCTCCTCTTTATACTGTTTGTTTTTTTCTTTTTAAGCCAATGAGTTGCTGCTAACAGAAAAGGATTTCCCCATCCCCCCACATGAAAACTCCTGGTGCGGGGTGTTCTTGAACTTGAGTCCAAGGGGACATTCACTTGGTCTCTAGGAATCGGAC